AGAGTTAACTGGAAATGGTGTCTGTTTTGAAAACCACAAAGCCTGTTGCAGTGACACTGCCTGATCTAAGAAGGCCACATGTGGTGGTGTCAATGAGAATGATTCCCATACACTCATATGTTTGAAGAGTTGGTCCTTAGTTGGTGGAACTGTTTGGGAAGGATTAGGAGGTGTGGGCTCTGTCCCCAGTGCTGTATAAGCCTGGTGTGGCAGCTCACACTGATAATCAGGACTTACTAGACAGACACAGGGAGAGCATTATATAGGTATTCTGTTGGCAAATTGGAGGCTGGTTTGTGATACACAAGACACTCTTAGTCCCTGGATGGGAGCCTGGTATCCACTTCACTACACTGTTGTTCAAATTACAACTTTTAAAATTTTATTTATTTTTTTAGACATTTTTATTTTATGTATGTGAGTGCACTGCAGCTGTCTTCAGACACACCAGAAGAGGGCATTGGATCCCATTGCAGATGGTTGTGAGCCACCATGTGGTTGCTGGGAATTGAACTCAGGACCTCTGGAAGAGCAGTCAGTGCTCTTAACCACTGAGCCATCTCTCCAGACCCCCAGATTCTTGTAAGCATTGGTGTTTTGCCTGAATGTACGTCTGTGAGGGCATCAGGTCCCCCAGAAATGGAGTTAGAGAGAGAGTTGTGAGCTGCTGTGTGGTTGCTGGGAATTGAACCTGGGTCCTCTGGAAGAGCAGCTAGTGCTCTTAATCAGGGAGCCATCATTCTAGCCCCCAAGTCGTTCTTTCTTATGTACATATTTTTTTTTATTATTCATAGTTACGTGTATGTGTGTGTCTGCATGTGGGTGCTATCAACTCTGGTCCTCTGGGAGATCAGTGTGTGCTCTTAACCACTGAGCCACCACCCCAGTCCTCTTTCTCACTCACCCCAACTATGTGTCTCAGTCTATGTGCCTCTGTCTGTCTGTCTGTCTGTCTGTCCTTTTTTCCCCCTGTGTCTTAATGCCTTGCTTGTGGAGGCCAGAAGAGGGCACCCAGTCTCTTCTTCTACCACTCTCCAGCTTTTCCTTAGAGACAAATATCTCTTTCTGAATCTGGAGCTCACCTTCTCTTAGCTCGATTGGAGGGCCCCCCCCACCCCCCGGGATCGGGAGCTGGGGTTATTTGCGTTTGAGGGTACACCTGGTTTGTCGAATGCGGGCTGGGATACAACTCTGATCCTCACGATCGTGTGCCAAGTGTCCTGCACCACTGAGCCATCTCCCCGAGGGCCACCGGGATGAAATGTCTCCAGTGGACTCATGATTATCTGCAATGACTATGTGCCAATCAGACAAACAACATGAGGGAGAGAGGGAGGGAGGTGGACGAGGGAAGGGGGAAGGAAAAGAAATGAGGGAGAAAGAGAAGAGGGAGGGAGGAACAAGAGGAAGGGAGGAGGGAAAGGAGGGGGAGGGAGGAAGAAGAGGGAAGGAGGAAGGAAAGGAGGGAATGGGGAAGAGGGAGGAAAAGAGGGAGGAGGGAGGGAGGAAAAGGGAGGAGGGAAGAAGGGACTGCTCATCATTTAAGAGTGCTTGCTGCTTTTATCAAGGACTTGTTCTGAATCCCAACATTCCTGTTGGATGGTTCATTACTACCCGACCCGACACCCCCTTCTGGTCTCTTTGGGCACTGCATAGCATATGTTTGTCATTTGGAAACATCTAGCAATAGCATACTTTTGTTTTTTTTTTTTTTCGAGACAGGGTTTCTCTGTGTAGCCCTGGCTGTCCTGGAACTGGCTCTGGAGACCAGGCTGGCCTTTAGCTCTCAGAGATCTACCTACCCCTGCCTCCCAAGTTCTGGGATTATAGGCGTGTGCCACCGATACCTGGCAGCAATTGTATTCTTAGCTTTAAGTATGGCTTCTAATATGAGCAGCTACTTAGACAAGGAGCTAACCATGAGATTAGCAAGAAAGGCTGAGATGGAGCCAACTCTCTGGCATGGTAAAAGCTACAGGTGTATCCTGTCAATTAAATGTCGGTTATCTGCAAACTCAATGGGCTGTGACCCTGGCCAAGTGGCTGACAGCTAGCAGACAGGCAAAGTCAGTAACTAGCAAAGATGAAGTCAGAGGTGGACAGAGGGGTCTTTCAGCTACCCCTGATTGGATTGGCAGTACGTGAAGAGCACATGGTCATCTCCCTGGTTGGGTCAGGGGACACGTGTATAACATGTGTGCTTTCCCTAGGTTTGATCCATGGTAGCCCAGAGAATTAACCAATCTCAATGGAGGGTTCCTCAGTCTTTATTTAGTTTCTGGCATACATACGCACACACACACACACACACACAAATGCACAGGTACACACACACTCGTGCACACATGTACACACAAACTCACACACTACACATACAACACATGTACACATGTGCACATGCATGCGCACGTGCGCACACACACACACACACACACACACACACACACACACACACACACTGGTAAAAGGCACAAAAGACCTGCTGTAATTGAAAACTTAGACTTGCAGAGAGACTCCCGTTCTTATGGCTCAGAAAACTCAATGACATGAAGAAGAATTTTTTTACCGAGAACATACCCCAGTGAACTAAGACTTGCCTAGTGTGTATGAGGCTTTCAGTTCAGTCCTTAGTACTGTCCCTCTCCCACCCCCAAATTTCTGGCTGATTCTACGGCATATACTGGCTAGTTTTATGTGAACTCTATGCAAACTAGAGTCACTGCAGAGGAGGGAGCCTCAGTTGAGAAAACGTCTCCGTAAGATTGTGATGTAGGTAAAACCGTAGGGCGTTTTCTTAGTTAGTTATTGGTGGGGGAGGGCCCAGCCCATGGTGGGTGGTGCCATCCCTGGGCTGGTGGTCCTGGACTCTAAGAAAGCAGGCTGAGCAAACCATGGGGAGCAAGGCAGCAAGCAGCACCCCTCCGTGGCCTCTGCATCAGCTCCTGCCTCCAGGTTCCTGCCCTGCTTGAGTTCCTGTCATGACTTCCTTTGACGATGAACAGCCACGTGGAAGTGTAAGCTGAATAAAAACTCTTTCCTCCCCAGGTTGCTTTGGTCACGGTGTTTCACTGCGGCAAAAGAAACCCTGGCTAAGATGATACACATATACTGTATTCTGTCTGCATGTTTGTCTCTTCTAAAACTCATGTGAAATCTATTTATCATTATGATGATATGGAGGGTGATTGGGACCTTTAAGAGGCACTAGGACACTGGGCAGTGGCCTGTGCACACCTTTAATCCCAATAGGCAGAGGTGGGTGGATTTCTGAGTTCGAGGCCAGCCTGGTCTACAGAGTGAGTTCCAGGACAGCCCAGGCTACAGAGAGAAACCCTATTTGAAGAAAACCAAACCAAACCAAGAGGCTCTGGGACACTACTGTGGGGAATTTCATACCTGAAGAAACAGGCCCAGAAGATTTATGGGCTGACCCTAGTGACCCGTGACATCATGCACACGAAGCCAGTCCAAAAAGAAGGAAGTCACATCATAAAACTTGTACCTCAGCAAAGCAATGAGATGTAGGTGGAGTCACCCAAATAGACACTTCACCCAGGCTTTCCATACAGAAATACTCATCAAAAATCTTACCTTTCACTGGGTGGTAGTGGCGCACGCCTTTAATCCCAGCACTTGGGAGGCAGAGGCAGGCAGATTTCTGAGTTCGAGGCCAGCCTGGTCTACAGAGTGAGCTTCAGGACAGCCAGGGCTACACAGAGAAACCCTGTCTCAAAAAACAAAAACAGGGCTGGAGAGATGGCTCAGTGGTTAAGAGCACTGACTGCACTTCCAGAGGTCCTGAGTTCAAATCCCAGCAACCACATGGTGGCTTACAACCATCTGTAATGAGATCTGATGCCCTCTTCTGGTGTGTCTGAAGACAGATACAGTGTATTCATAATAAATAAATAAATAAATAAATAAATAAATAAATCTTAAAAAAAAATACATATAAAAAAAAAACAAAAACAACAACAACAACAACAAAAAATGTGTGTGGTGGTGGAATAAGAAAGGCCACTATAGGGCCGGAGAGATGGCTCAATGGTTAAGAGCACTGAGCACTGACTGCTCTTCCAGTGGTGCTGAGTTCAATTCCCAACAACCACATGGTGGCTCACAACCATCTACAATGGGATCCGATGCCCTCTTCTGGTGTGTCTACAGTATGCTTACATAAACTAAATAAATCATTAAAAAAAAAAAACGAATGGTCCCTACAGGCTCATTTATTTGAATGTTTAGTTACCAGGAAGTGGAACTGTTTGAAAGAATTAGAAGGATTAGAGGGTGTGGCTTTGTTGGTGGAAATATGTCTCTGGGGATTGGCTTTGAGATTTCAAAAGCCCATGCCCAGCCTAGATTCTCTCTCTTCCTGCTGCCTTTGGATTAGGATGTAAAGCTCCCAGCTGTATGTCCAGTACTCTCCATGTTCCCTGCCACGATGATAGTGGGTTAAACTTCTATAAGTGTAAGCAAACCCTTCAATTAAATGCTTTTTTTTTTTTTTTTTGGTAAGTGTTGCTTTGGTCATGATGTCTCTTCACAGAGATAGAACAATGACTAAGACAGTGAATGCCTGTATGTTTGTGTGTTCACTGTATGTGTGCAGTGCCTGTCTAGTCCACACGAGGGCACTGGATCCCCTAGAACTGGAGTTACAGACAGTTGAAAGCTTCTTTGTGGGTGCTGGGACCCAAACCCAGGCGGCAAGTGCTCTTCACTGCAGAGCTACCTCTCTAGACCTTATTTGGCTATTTCTTGACAAACTACATATGTGTATTGGTGGTGAAACTCAAGAGAGAAGATAAGGAATGTTTTCTTTTTTTTTTGTTTGTTTTTATTGTTTCATTTATCAGGTCTATAACAGAAGACAAAGCAAGGGGTTGAGGTTAAAGAGGATATAGCATATGAAAAGCAATCCTCCCCCCAACAGGAAAGATGTATTGGAGGGGACAAGGACTGCCCTGAGAATCTTCAGGGGTGGAAAATGGCCACCATCATCCGCTGTAGTGCTGGATAAAGTGTATGATTTTTGATTTCCGCCGTGGATAGTCTCCGCTTCCCAAAGAGACTCGCCTATGGTAGGTGAGTATGTTGCCCTGTTTTTTGCTCTGGTAGATGACTTGCGCGTGGGTGATGACGAAATATAGCCAGAAGCAGTGTAGGGAGATGCGGGACACCCAGCCGAACCATCGCATGGCTCTGACCAGGGCCACGCTGAACTCGTCGGTGAGGGTCTGGATGCCCAGGTTGGTGGATTCATAGATGATGATCCAGATCCCGTAGGTCATGAGACCCTCGTAGATCTGGGCGTACACGGAATACAGGAGGAAGCAGCTGGCTATCATGGTGAAGATGGACAGGAAGAGGATGATTCTGAAGCTCCAGCAGATGAAGAAGTGCCTCAGTATGTTGAGGCCCTGAGTCTGGAAGTTCTCCGTGCAGTTACCATTCCCAAGGTGCTTCCTTTCGAAGATGAGGTGCATGTGGGTGGCCATGATGGAGAAGACTCCTGATAGCACTGTGCCCATCCTGGATGTCAACCCGCACCAGGTCTGATGCTTCATGTCAGTGTCTCCTGTGGAGACAAGCAACCCCACAGGGATTCAGTTCCTGCCCACCGCAGGAGATACCAGCTCACATCTCCAGAGTGGAAAGGAAAGTGGGTGTAGCATCTTTTTTTGTTTGTTTGTTTTGTTTTGTTTTGAGACAAAGTTTCTCTGTGTAGCCCGGGCTGTCCTGGAACTCACTCTGTAGACCAGGCTGGCCTCGAACTCAGAAATCTGTCTGCCTCTGCCTCCCAAGTGCTGGGATTAAAGACGTGCACCACCACCGCCCGGCGGGTGTAGCATCTTTAGCTGACTAAAGATGTTGGGCTGAGGTGGGGATGGAGAGGAGACCTGGATGATTCCTTGTGGGTAAAGGGTTTTGCAGAGGACCCTTGTTCAGGGTCCATTGTAAAACCCCTGCAGTGGCCTGTGTTTCTGTGATCCAGGTAATGGGGGGGGTGTGCGGGGGATGGAGACAGTCAGATCCTGGAGTTTACTGGCCTAGGTGAAACAGAATTTTGGATTCAGTAAGAGATCTGTTTCAAAGGAATATGATGGAGAACCATAGAGGAAGACACCTGACATTCTCCACAGGCTAACGGCAAGCCCGTCCCATCTTTTCTATTCCTGGTTTCAGAAGTCCCATAGTGACAATCCCAGCATGCCCCAGAAGCCAGCTCCACATGATGGGCCATAGACTGGGGAGGGGAGAAGGGGTTCCTAGTCTCCTGTCGACGTGCAGAGAATTCCTCTTAGGTGAGTGTTCATGATCTAAAACCAAGTTTGCCAAACTGCCCAAAGAAACACACACCGTCATGGCAAAGAAAAACTCACAGTGAGTTGATACGCCCTGGGTTTCCCTAACTCCCGCCTTGCCGGGACTGAGGGCTATGTCTCTATTGGCCTGTCTCTCCCTGAGTGCCTGATGTTGATAACTGACAGCCGCCACTACCGCCCCACCGCCGCTTTGTAGAAGGACCTGACACAGCCACTGGGACTTGCAGAACTGTTAGAAAACGTGATGTGACCATGTGAACAGTTAGTAACTAGACAACCGAGAAGGAGCTGGGGTCCCAGCTCATTGGATATGGTGTTTGCCTTGCACGTGTGAAATCCTAGTTCCTGACCTCTGTGTTATATAAAACTGTGGTGCACACCTGTAAATCCAGTGCTCTGGGCGTGTGGGGACAGGAGGGAGGTCAATTCCCAGCAACCACATGGTGGCTCACAGTCATGGGTCTCCAATGTTCTGGTGTGTCTGCAGGAAGTGACAGTGGACTCATAGACATAAAATAAATACATCTTTTTTTTTTTTAAAAAAGAAAAGATATAGAAGTCGGAAGGAATTGTTACACAGTTGTAAAATGAGAGCGTTACATTGTTGTCAAAATAAATCTCATCTCTGCAGAAACATACTACAGTTCACTTGACTCTTAGTCTGATGCCTGGGACTCACAGCGCAGAAGGGGAAGAACAGACTTGGAAACTGCCCTCTGACAATTTCTACAAGACTGCCGTGGCACACATGTATACAGGTGTTGGCACAAAATGAAAAGGAGAATGATCAGTGGGGGGAAAAACATTAATAGAAGACCTTGCAGAGTCGCCTTGAGGATTAAATGAGCAAATATGTTTGGGAGACTCAGAGGGTTGTGCACGCAGGGAGCACCGACCAGCTCAGGGCTCTTTATGCCAACGGGCGGCTCCTGTTTACCCTGCCTGTCAGCTATCGTTTGCTAGGCTTTGTGCACAGAGACGCCGGTTAGTCTTTTCCCTGCCCGTTTCCCGCTTTGCTAAGGGAGTCTGCCTGTGTTCAGGATGGCAAGAGGCCCAGATCCAGGGAAAACATTTGCCTTCCCAGACATTGCCTCCAAGTGATGACGTCCACGGACATAGTTCCAGGAGATGAGACACACGCGGAAATCCACTGGGCACTCTGCCAAGACACTTTCTGCTCGATAGTGGAGGAGGATGTGGGCATTACAACACTTACATTTTATTTTTTCTCACTTTTTTCAATATTCAATATGTGTGTGTAAGCATGTGTGTATGTGTAAGAGTGCACCTGTATGTGTGTGTGCAGTACCCAAGGATTCCACAAGAAGGCATCAGATCTCTATGCAAACAATGCAGACTTTGCCTGCCTCTGCTTCCTGAGTGCTGGGATTAAAGACGTTGGCCTGAAACTGCTTTATTTGTTTGGGTTTTGTTCCTTTGTTTTTTTGAGGCAGGGTCTCATTATATAGCTCCAGTGTCCTGAAACTCACTACATAGATCAGGCTGGCCTTAAACTCACAGAGACCTGCTTATCTCACAAGTGCTGTGTTAAAGGAATGTGCCAATATTCCTGGCCTAAGACTACATTTTAAAAAGTATCTAGTCAGGTGGTGGTAGTGCATACTTGGGAGGCAGAGGCAGGAGGATCTCTGAATTTGAGGCCAGTCAGGTCTACAGAGTGAATTCTAGGACAGCCAGGGCTGCACAGAGAAAACCTGTCTCAAAACAAACAAAAGTTTAAAAATCTATCTATCTATCTATCTATCTATCTATCTATCTATCTATCTATCATCTGTCTGTCTGTATGCATCATGTATGTGTGTGTCTCATACCACAGCATGCATGAGAAGGTCAGAGGAAGACTTTGTAGATGGGTCCTCTTCTCCCACCCTTTACGTGAGTTCTGGGGATAAAATTCAGGTCCCAGGCTTGCATCACAGGCTCTCTACCCACTGAGCCATCTTGCCCGTTTACTTTGAGACCTATTTGGCTGTTTCCCACTTTAACTGTTATATCCATAATTTTTTTTTTTTCGAGACAGGGTTTCTCTGTGTAGCCCTGGCTGTCCTGGAACGCACTCTGTAGACCAGGCTGGCCTCGAACTCAGAAATCTGCCTGCCTCTGCCTCCCAAGTTCTGGGAATAATTAACTGACCTATATCTATCAGTCTCTAAGGAATTACCCTGAATGTTATGCACCAGGAAGACAAACATATACAAGCCATTGGGTTGTTTTTAAAATCTATCTATCTATCTATCTACCTACCTATTGGTTTTTTGAGACAAAGGGTTTCTCTGTGTAGTCCTGGCTGTTCTGGAACTCACTCTGTAGACCAGGCTGGCCTCAAACTCAGAGATCCACCTGCCTCTGCCTGAGTGCAGGAATTTAAGGCGTGTCCCACCACTACCTGGTTTAAAACATTATTTTTAAAGGTAGGCTTTTTCACTGGAACTCATCAAGTAGGCTAGGCTGGCCAGCCCAGTGAGGCCCAAGTAGGGATCTGATGATTACCACGCTTGGATTACAAGCATGTATGGGTTTTTTGTTTGTTTGTTTGTTTGTTTTTTTGCTTTTGAAAATGTGGATTCTGAGGATTGAACTCAGGTCATCATGCTTACAAAGGTGCTTTGAATGATAGGCTTATATATTTGAATGTTTGGTCTTCAGTTGGTGGAACTATTTGGGAAGGATTAGGAGGTGTGGCCTTGTTGGAGGAGGTGTCACTGCAGGTAGGTTTTGAGGTTTCAAAAATCTATGCCAGGCCCATTCTCCTTCCCTGTCTTTTTCTGTCTGTGTCTGTCTCTCTCTCCCTCTTTCTCTCTCTCTCTCTCTCTCTTTCTGTCTGTCTCTGTCTGTCTCTCTCTCTCTCTTCTCTCTCTCTCTCTCTCCCTCTCTCTTACTGTAGCTTCTGGTCAAAGACCTCAGCTCTTCCGGCCCGTTCTAAGGGCTGCCTGAGTCTCCTTGTGCCATGGCTGCAGGCTTTCCTCGAGAGTGACTGCTTGGTATCAGCAGAGAACTGGCAGTGTCTTTTTTTTCTTCTTCTTTTAAATTTTACGAGGTTGAGTGCCTGCCTGTGTGTAGGAGTGCCAGGGGCGTGCAGTGCCTGCGGAAGCCAGAAGACGGTGCCGGTTAGATCCTGAGGATCTACAGGCAGTTGTGAGCAGGAAACACTCTTACCAGTCCTGTGATCTCACTTCTTATAGGCTGACTAAAGGCTGAGGCTTTGCGCTTACTTCTCAGCCAAGTAGCCAGCATCCAACCCAGCCAACAGTGTGTGTGTGTGTGTGTGTGTGTGTGTGTGTGTGTGTGTGTGTGTGCGCGTGCGCGTGTGTGTATGGGGGACACCCTCCGAGGGGCACAACATGTGACCTCTCCATTTTCCCAGCAGGAGAGAAATTCCAGATTCTGTAGGGAAGCTAGGGACTTCCCTTCTTCCTTTGTTCTTCCAGGCCAAACTCTTGCTCAAGAGACCAGATTTTTTCCAAAACAAAAGCCTGATCCTCTCCAACACAGAAAGAGAACCAGCCTGTCATGCTTAGATAGTGAGTCAGCTGACAAGCAGGGAAACCAGTCCCCTCTGGGGGATGAGCGAATGCAGACAATAAACCACAGGGCTGTACACACAGTCCTGGATGACATCAGCCTCCGTTCATCGCCCCGGGGGCGATTCTACACATTCCTTCCTGTGCGTATAATCTTTTCTTTCTCAAATGTCTTTTCTCTACTTGGCTTTTTCCTCCGGGTCTTTCAGATCTCCCACGCGGTGTCAGGGTCCCGCGTTAGCTTCCTTTCTGTGGTCACCGGCTGACTGCCAACTTGCCCCTCACCAGCCGGCCAATCAGGAGTGTCCCGGAAGCTCTCCTCTGTACTCATTTCTTCCATAGGAAGTTAAACGTCTCTGAGAACCTTCCACAGCCTTCCTCTCACTGTTTAATGCTCAGAACTGGGGTACATGGGCACCCCTAGCCACAGTATCACCATAACTACCATAGATAGATGTTTATGCCAGGTCTAAGAACCCAGCTGCCTTATTCCACCAGCAAGGAGCCCTCTTGACAAGGAATTTGGAATTTGTTCCACTTAGGACCCACTTTTGTTGAATGTGAAGATCTGTGATGTCAGATAGGACCTTCATTTACTACCTTAGGGACCGCGCCTTCCACAGACATAAGTTATGTATCTGCACAGTCGCCAAAATAACGTTTAGATTCCCAAGTATCGCTTGCAGCTGATGGCTATGC